TTATTCCTGAAGCATGTATAATCACTGCCCTTAAGAACTTATTTGTGGTCTATTGTGCAAGTCTCCCAGGATACAACAAGAACTTCTCAAAATTTTGGAGGATCTCAGAAACTAGCAAGAAACTCTTAAAAGATTAAATAAACCCATAATAATAATAGAACAGAAAAAAAAATAGAGAAGAGAAGATGAGAGTGGTGTGGTTTTGGAAGAGTGTGAAGTGGTCCCTATTTACAGGTGTAGATTGGGCCTAAAACCCTAACTACCTACGTCCAAAAAATCCACTAGCAACCACCTTACCCCAATACTTAGGAAGCACCATGAAATAAAGAGAAAAATCTGCAGCAACTAGAGGAAGACTTGGTAATGATTCTGTAATGTTCTCTGTAACATTCTTTGTAACGTTCTCTGCAACGTGTGGGAGTGTGTTCCTTTCTTTTTCTGCAATACAGTTTCATAACACATCGACAAATTAGGAATCGAGAAATTAAAGAGTGAAGAACATCAATATATTAGAAATTGAGGAAATAAAGAGTGAAGAATATCAACACGGACATATCGAGAGGAAGTTATACTGAATGATTTTTAAATAGTACATCGAAAGACTGATGAAGGCGGTAAAGAAACAAGTTCCTTGAAATGTGTAAGTTGCAAATAAAGGTGTGTCCACCAAGTGAAGCGAGTTACAAGAAGATGATTCCAATTTATAATTTTTATTTTATTTTATTATTTTTATGATTGCTTTAGCGGTTACAAAAAATAATATATATATATATATATATATATATATATACACTAAAATAAAGGAAATTAGGGTGATTGTCAAATTGTACAACTTACATTCTAAAAAAAATGGGTTAAATTTATTTTTATGCTATTTAATTTCCTACACATTTACTTTTCAGTAATTTACTTTTATAATTCTTTATTATTCTTGCGAGTTATCTTAAATGTTTCATACTTGTATTAAATATAAATGTTGAATACTGAACAATCTTTAATTAAAATATACTTGTATATTTAACTTTGAGTGAGATTAAAAGAATCCACATAATGTTTAATGTTTAAGTAATTCATTATGTAAACTGTGTTAATTTTATCGAATTATTTACACTAAAAATAACAATGTAGTTCATAATCAATATAATTATTTTTAAAATATATAAATATTCTAATTCTTATTATTTGTTTGTTTTTACATCTATAGCATTGTGTTTTCAAAGATATTTTTAATATTTTTATTTTTTTTATCATATTAGGCATTCTTAGTGAATGTTTTTTAATAAAATATATTATTGTAATGAGGTCTATTTTGATCTAATTCTGATTTAGGATCCATATTAAAATAATAATTTTATTTTTAAGACCATATTTAGTTAAAATTATTTATTAAAATACTAGTTGATTAAAATAATTTTTAATGAATTTTAAGTTAAACTTGTACGATGCTTAAATTTTTTTTTATTAGGAAACAATTTATCAAAAAGAAAAAAAAAGAGAGAATATGTAACTTAAAGTTTGTTAAGAAAATCTCATTATGAGAAAATCAATACTAAATTCTTTCAAAATAAATTTTATGAGTTTTTATAAACAATTCTTATTGCATATGTTCTTATTAAATAATATTATTTTTATCAAATAATTTTTTTATTATATTATTGATAAAAAAATAGAAAAATAATATAAAAAAATAAGTATCATGATATTATATATCAAAAAAGAAAAAAAAGTGATATATATAATTTTACTAAATTTATCATGTAATTTTTCTAAAATATAATATATTAATTAAATTATAATATTTTTAAATAATTTAAATATATGTCTAATAAAAATTCATTTATTTATTTGATAAAAAACTAAAATAAAAATATTTTAAGCAATAGTGAATTAAAATAATAAAACATTATATTATATATTTATAACCACATAGTAAGATTATAAGATAATATTATCTAACAAACACCAAACGTTATTATTATTTTTTTCGAAAATATTTATTTTCTTTTTACTCATTTGAATTAAATTATTTCTTGGTACTGTATTTATGAAGAAGACAATGTTGTAGTCTTCTATCGGGCATAAAACCTTGCATGCGATGGCGGATCTTCTTGGGAGCTGAGGGGGCCGTGGCCCCAAAGTTTTGTAACTCCCATGTAATTTATGATTCCCCCCAAACTTAATGAACATTTAATATATTTACTTGTATATTTACAATTTTATCCTCCCATCCTCCCAGCCCCTCCTCGGTTTGTAACTCTCATATAATTTATGATTTTGTCTCCCTCAAACATAATGATCATTTAATATATTTAAGTATATATTTACAATTTTATCTTTTCACCCTTTCATCTTCTTATTATTTATTATTTATTAATAATATATTATTTGGCCCCTCTAAGATCAATGGTCAAGATCCAGTCACTTGCTTGCATGTATGTCATGTAGACTTTTTCAATACTACCATTGCACCAATCAAACTCTCACATACTTTATTTATTGTTGGCAGATTTCCTATAAGACATTCACACCTTAGACTCAAAATCCGTTATCAACTACAATGTTGATAAACCGATGAATGATAATGGTCATATAGCATTCCCTCCTTTCTTTCTCTCATAAATGCTTTTCTTTGTTATGCGAAAACAGCTTCTTCAAAAAAAAAATGTCATTTTAGATAAAGAAGCTTACTCAACCTTTATATTTCAAAACCAAGGATTACCATTATATTGAGTTATTTTTCTCCGGGAAAAATATTGTTTATTAAAAAAAAAAAAGTTCAGTCATTAACTATATTGTGATGCAGATAACTCATAAATTCTATTTTTAAGTTATGGCGTTATTAGATACTATGAATATCACTTATAAATGAATAATATGCAACTATAAAATGATGATTTTAGTTGTCCTCAAAATCATATATATTATTGTTAGGATAAAGCTGTAATTAATTATGATCTTCATTCTAATGATCAAACATATATATATATATATATATATATATATATATATATATATATATAATCCCATACCGTAAACATGTTATAAACTAAATGCGAAAGCATACCTGAATTAACCATAATGATGATATCCTTTGTAGAGCACTTTTGATTTGATCTTTTGGTCTTCCACCTGAAGAGCACCTGTATTTCCCTCTTGATTTTCTCTCTTGATGGGGATAGAGAGAAAGGAACGGGACTGTAACTATGTTCTATCTGTGTGCTCTCAGAAGGAGACCATGACCCTTTAAATAACCAGAATTAGGTTAATTACTTAAGTTTTAGTATTTCCAATTTGGCCCCTCATCAAATTAGAAATTACTCTATGGTCTCTACACAATTTTTATTTTCATGACACATGCCTTTAGCCAAACCTTTTTAATTTAGTCAGATCACTTTATTATTTGGCTTAATAAATAATGACCCTAACACATTTAAATATGTATCATATATATACATGACCCAAAATTTTCCAACAATCTCCCATCGGCACAGAATTTAGAATTTATATTGGCGAATACGTGAAGCAATTGTAGCTGAATTAGAACAAAAGAAATAAACTAATTATGCTCACATTATAAAATAAATAATTATAAATAAAATACATATTTAAATAATGGTTTAACCCATCTCAAGACACCCAATGCACCATCAATATCAGGTCTTTGGACAATAATATTAACTGCTAGAGGTATCTTGTTGTAATAATCAAACATTGATAATAAAGCACGTCCAACAACAAACCAGTCTTTGGATTGATTTATCATCGACAAAGCAAATCTTTATAATTATCACATGTTTATCATTACAAGTGTATATGCAATTCGGCCAAATATTAATCTTCCTTTGGGCCGACTAATACTTGCATGAATATACACAAACACTAACATTTAATATTTTTCACGAACTACTCAATTCAAGAGATGTTACTTTGGTAACTTCTTGACTCAATTTGCTCACAAAAACATTAAACTACCAAACAAATTGAATATATTAATAACGGTAACCCTAAACCAAATTTATATAATTATTTATTTATTAAAAAAATATAATGGCACTTAATCCACCACTTCCAATCACTTTCTTGAGTTAAACGCCATTAGAAGATGGGGGAATGGAATAAAGTATAAACGAGAAAAAGAAGAAAGAAAAACCAATCATGAAAACATAAACGAGGTAGTTGCACGTGTTCGTTGGCTTTCAATTCAAGAGTGACACCGAAGACATGTTGTTGAGTTCAGTGGCTTCCTGTTACTTTCATCCCACCACCTCACTGCACATGCACGTTGCTCCTTTTTGCTTCATTACCAGGTTCTCTCTCTCCCTAACTCTTTAGTTCTCTACTTGCTAGTATGAACATAGAATTCGCAAATTTGCTTGCTCCACTTTGAATTCTCAAAGCAGTAGGGTTTCTAGGTCGTTTTTGTTTTTACATTCTACACTTACAAGTGATGGATTGTGTTTGTGAGTTTGTATGTACATGGAATATGATAGTTGCATTTGAACTGAAGCAGTGCAGTGGATTATATTTTAGCTTTTGAAAGTGAAGCTATCGCAAATCATGCAGCTTGAAATAACGTTCACTGGAATCTAAAATACATGGGAAGAAAACTAGAGGTATTGGATGAAATGGAATACATTTAATCAGATTGTATTCCACTCTTCTAGGTTACAATTTTGACAGCAACTTATTAAACCTAGGACCTGATGCAAACTGCTCTATATTTTCATTGTTAAGTTGAATCTGGTGGGTTAAATTCTATTCCACTTCATCCTGTCCTAGTTGATTCAAAGAATGGCAACTAGTGTAATTCCATGTTGTCTCTTTCTGTCAATTCAAAAATAGCCCAAAAGACTTCCGAAAAAATTCAACCAAATACACCAATTAGCAGGTAACAAGTGTTGGCAAACAACAAGCCCCCACAGCCTCATGGAACTTTGTCCACCAACACCTTCCCCTATCATACAACATGTCCCAGTAGTCGCAATCTGCGGCCGGGAGTTTCACAACTTTGAAACAAGCGCCGTGAACCCCTCCTCAATCCGCCGAAACGCTTGTTGAATGGCCTCAGATGTCACAACACTCTGTGACTCGGCCAATATCGCTTGGAGATTACAGAACAAGTTATCGCAAACGTATCGCGAGCAATCAGGACCGTCGTGGCCGTCGTAGACGCCGACGAAGGTGCCGAAGGGTCCGGACTCGATCTGGCTCTGGTCCTCGAGTACCTGATTAGCCTGAACGACGGCCATGGAGAAATCGCCGGCGGCAAACCTTCCGATGTCGCAGAACCAGAGGAGGCCATCCTTGCATTCTCTTCCAGCATTGGCGTCGTCACCTTGCCCGAACGGCATCCAACAGCGCTTAGAAACCCTAACCCTAGGCCCCCAACACCAGAACCTCTCCCACTGGGGGCGCGGTGCTTCGAATCTGAATTAGTCATAATCATCAGGGCCATACGATAACCCATCACCGTACCTTTAAACCAGCAACTCCCTTTCCCAACCACATTGGAGGCACGTCACACGGCCTTCTCCAATTCCGCATGTTGAGCCAACAGTTACACCTCCGGATAATGGCACACGGGGAATAGAGAATCGGGTTTTAAGAAACCCTAGGATTCTCAATTTTAGGGTTTTTAATTAGGGATTAAGGGTTTCATAAATTAATCTCAATTCTTAAATATTTCCTAAGAAAAACATGAATCAAGTATGGGCGGCTCTGATACCAATTATTAGGATAAACTGTAATTAATTATGATCTTCATTCTAATGATCAAACATATATATATATATATATATATATATATATATATATATATATAATCCCATACCAGTAAACATGTTATAAACTAAATGCGAAAGCGTACACTGAATTAACCATAATGATGATATCCTTTGTAGAGCACTTTTGATTTGATCTTTTGGTCTTCCACCTGAAGAGCACCTGTATTTCCCTCTTGATTTTCTCTCTTGATGGGGATAGAGAGAAAGGAACGGCACTGTAACTATGTTCTATCTGTGTGCTCTCAGAAGGGGACCATGACCCGTTAAATAACCAGAATTAGGTTAATTACTTAAGTTTTAGTATTTCCAATTTGGCCCCTCATCAAATTAGAAATTACTCTATGGTCTCTACACAATTTTTATTTTCATGACACATGCCTTTAGCCAAACCTTTTTAATTTAGTCAGATCACTTTATTATTTGGCTTAATAAATAATGACCCTAACACATTTAAATATGTATCATATATATACATGACCCAAAATTTTCCAACAATTATTTCACATAATTACAATTAATTATGTAAAGATTCTAGACATAATATAGGTAAGTATAAGATTTTTTTTTTAAATCAAACTGAATTCATAAGAAAATAAAATTTTAAATGGTTTTCGAGAAAGTAGATAGGTTTCATATTTAAAAGGTCTTAAAATTTTATTTTTTATTTATTTTCCTAATATAAATATACAAGTTCACTTGGTGAAATATTTTTAAAATTAAAGATATTAATGAAGAAGCATAAAAACTGTTTTGTTAAATATTTTATTGGCATGAAAACTAAAATGGTAAATGAGTTTATTCTTTGATTCGTAACATAAAGAATAATTTTACTAATAATTAGTAACAAAAGCTTCATTATAAAACACGTTTATTACAACTTTTATTTTAGGAACAAGCTTACTAAAACCATTTATGTGATAAAAAAGTGGAGAAGTAATTATAACAAAGGTAAATATAGTTAATTACAACAATTTAACTTAAACAAATAATACAGAGGCCAAACCTACCATTTTGCGTATAAAAGAGAAAAAAAGTTGTGAAGACATGTCACATAAAATGTATAATCTTACAGAAAAAGGTTGTTACTGCAAATGTTTTCAATATGCAGAATAATGTATAGAAGAGAAGCAAACGAACACGAAAAGAGTAGTGACAACACCACAGCTAATGTCATACAAGACATCATGCAAGAGATTAGGAGATTCCACACCGAAGTCATCATGTAAAGAGGTAAGAGTGAAGAAAACAAGAGTCACACGAAATATGAGTTATTTGATAAGATCGATCCACACACTTTATTTAAATTTATTATTTCTCTAAAATATTTGATCCTATTAAAAAGGAATGAACTGATGTTATGGTGAGAAAATAAAAAATAACCTAATAATTTGAACAATGACTTAACATATATGTTCTGTGGCATGCGATGCAATCTCAGGACAAACAGTGTTCTATTGTTAAGTGGTAAATGTTGAACATTCAAGGACTTGATGTTGAACTTGATGGACATGAAGCTTGTTGATTTTGATGATGATTCAAGAACACAAGACTTAGAGAGTTGAAGACTTGTTTTATAGTGTAATAATTCTGTTTTGATTAGATTGAGTCTGTAATATTAGAGTTTGAGATAGTCGATACTTAGTCTGCACCTTAGAAGTTTCAAAAAGCTCAAATTTATCAAAGTGCCTCGGCTTTAATCGATTAATTGGTGAAATAATTGATTAAAACAGTGAGAAAAACCATTTTATGTATCTGCTCACTGGTTTAATCGATTAACACCCCTGTTAATCGATTAACAGGTCTCTTAATCGATTAAAACAGAGAGTTTTGGGGTTCTGTTGATTTTGGCTCTGTAATAATCGATTAACACTTCATTTAATCGATTATTTTAGTCAGATTTTGATTTTTAACTTCAAATCAACCCTATTTTTGAAAACCCTAATTCCCAAACTCCTATTTTCGAAAATCCCAATTCCCAAACCCTAATTTCTCTACTTAAGCTTCTCTATGGCACTCAGAAAACGAGAACAACCTTTTTCGTACAAAAGTTAAGTGTTGTGAGTGTCAGAGAACTGTTTGTTGCAAGAAAAAGGGGCTTTTGGAACCTGGTGTGGGCTAGAAGCGATAAGAATCACTAAGTGGAGTTCTTAGTGGATTGTGTGTTGTGCCGTCTCTAGGGAAAGACGTTCTTCATCTCTTGTGGATTTCAAGGGAGGTGTTTTCTTTACTTTATCTTTTCCATTGTAATTTGTTTGTAACAATTGTGATTATAGTGACAGCGTTAATCCTCTGTTTGAGTGATTAGCAACTGGACGTAGGGTCTTTTGATCCAAACCAGTATAAATCTCCTGTGTAAGATTCTATCTCTACTCTATTTACATTTACACAGATTTTTAATCGGTAAAATTTTGGGAAAATTTTGAAAACCTAATTTTTGTTAAGAAACCAATTCACCCCCTCTTGGTTTTTTGTCCGACCACACGAACATTCTGCTGCGCGATTCTAACAAGTGGTATCAAAACTAGCTTTGATAGTCATTCAAACTTTTCGAAAATGGCCGAACAAAATCAAACTTTTGCCGAAGGTGCGTCTATCAACAGACCCCCACTTTTTGCGGGTCAAAATTATCCTTTCTGGAAAGTAAGAATGCAAATATTTTTAGAGTCTGTTGATAGAGGCGTTTGGGACGCTATTTTAAACGGTCCATATGTTCCTAAAGTTATTGAGAATGGTGTTGACGTTCTCAAACCTTTTTCTAGATGGACTGCAGAGGAAAACAGAAAAGCTCAATTTGACGTTAGGGCTAGAAATATAATTTCATCTACTTTAACCCTTGACGAGTTTTACAGGATCTCTATTTGTAAAAGTGCTCAGGAGATGTGAGAAATGCTAAGAGTGACCCACGAAGGTACCAATGACATTAAGAGAGCATGTAAAAACTCCTTAATCCAAGAATACAAGATGTTCTGGATGTAACAAGGCGAAACGATTTTCAACGTGTTAGAAAAGTAGGCTGAGATCAAGAGGGGGGGTGAATTGATCTTTGAAAGATTTTCGCAATTAAAAGATTATCTATTTGTAAAATAAGATTTCAGATCTGTTCTTGAATCACAAAGCAATCAATCAACAATAAACGCAGCAACAGAATTAAAAGAGGAGAAAGGTTTAGAAAGATATCACCGGTGTTTATACTGGTTCACCCAATACCAGGGATACGTCCAGTCTCCAGCCAAATTCCAGCTGGGTTCCACTAGATCAAATGTTTTACAGATTACAATCTTACACTTAATCTACCACAAGAACCACAATTCCAGTTCCTGCACCTAACCTTTCACCAAGAACCAAATTCCAGTTCTTGACAACCTCTACAACCAAATTCCAGCTGCACAGAAACCAATGCCCACAATTCCAGGCACCAACACCTAACTTCTCACCAAGAACCAAATTCCAGTTCTTGACAACCTCTACAACCAAATTCCAACTGCAGAGAAACCAGTGCCTACAATTCCAGGCACCAACAATATAGTAAAAGAATGAAAAGAAATGAAAAGAAGAAACTAGAATGCTCAAACCAGTTTTATGCAATTCTGCAGTAAGTGTTTCTTCTCCAAAAGAAAGCAATTTGCCTCAAGAAAGAATTTCAAAGAACTTCACAAAAACTAGCGCGAATCTTTCTTGAAAGAGTATTAAAGTTTTCTTGCTTGATTGCTAAAGGATGTGTAAAAGATTGATATTCGATGATGTTTAAAAAATTCAAGCCAATTAGTTTATATAGAAGATTTTCAAAACTGCTGGTTTAATCAATCTGTTAAAATAATCTTTTAATCTGTTAAAAGCCTTGTTTTAATCTATTAAAACTTCTTTTAATCCATTAAAGCGTTCTTGATTATTTAACAGATTTGTTTTAACTGATATGACAACGTTTATATCAATTAAAACTCTTTACAAAAAATCTTCTAATTTGTTTTAATCAATTGTTTCGTGATTCAATCGATTAAAATACTGCAAAACTTTCTTGTAAAATTTTCCAAGTGATTTTAACTGATAAAAATTAGTTTTAATCGATTAAAACGCTATGTAGAAATTTTCTAAGTTGCTTTAATCGATTGAAACGTGTTTTAATCAATTGAAAAAGCTCCGATCGGTCATAACTCAATTCGATCGATCATATCGATTCTGATCGGTCATAATTGCATTCTGATCGATCATCCTAAACACTAAGTGGATTTAATTGATTAAAACCAAGTTGTATCGATTAAAATACTGCAAAAACACTTCTCTTAACATTTTAAGTGATTTTAATCGGTTATTTCGAAGCTTTATCAGTTAAAACACTGACAGAAGGTTTTCAAAACTTTCTTTAGTGAAAACAACCGGTTATTTCGAAATTATATCAGTTAAAAACTTGTTTAAGAAAGCTTTTTAAACGTTTTTAGAGGCATTTTGCAAAATCTTTTAAGTGAACAAACCTCATGCAGTAGAAAAGATAAAAATGATTATACCTAAGCATAGTTTCGGACACACTAATCCCTCTACTCTTTTATCTAAGTGACTGTTGACCGCTACAA